CAAGATCAAAACCAGAGCAGAAGCCAGCAGAATTGGCAGCCCTGGATGCTGCTCAAGGGCCATGTGTGGTGCCAGCAGGGTTTGCAGGAAGGCAGGACACTGCAAGGGGACACGCACATCTCTCCCTGGAGCTATCCTCTGTGCCAGCTGGGAAGGGAGGCCACCACAGTGCACACTGTAGCAAGAAGCATCACAGCCCCAGACATCCTCAAGCATGGGACAAGGCAGAGGTTTGCAGGCAATGCTGTCCACACTGCATCTTGTTTCACTGGGAAGCCAGCTGTGTCCTGCAGGGACAGCCCAGCCATGCTTGCTGTCCCACTCCCACAGAGCCACTGAGCCCCCATCACACACTAAAGAAGCACCAGTGGCCCTAGGGTGAGCACTCAGGGAGATGCAGGACCGCACCACAGGACAGACAAAGCTCTTCTCAGAGACCCCAGGTGCACACACTGGAAACCTTGGAATGCATCAGCACCCACACTCCCTGAGCACTGCTACATTTGACCACAGTACTGCTCCATCCTCTAACACCATGTTGCCCCTAGAGCCCCCCCAAGCAGCACAGAGGATGCCCAACCTCCCCAGCAGCAGCCCCCCTCCCTTACCAGCCAGATCCTGCTCCCCATCTGGGACAGCCCTCTGCACCCTCCACAGCTGCAGCAGGCCCTGCAGGAATGACCCAGCTCCCCCCCTCCCCACATTTATAGCCCACAGGTGCCCCACACCCCTGGCAGCATGAGCCCCACCTGAGGACTGTGATGTGGGACTGGTGTGGTTGCAGATGCTGCAGCAGGCAGGGAATGGGGACGGATGGAGCATCTTCAGGGAGAAGCGTGGCTTTCCCTGTTACAGGTCATAAAACATTCCTAGGGAATGTCGAGATGAGAAGTGTAATTGCAAATCAGCTCTGCTGCTCTCCTGCATCTCCAGACCTATGCAAAGGCAGGGAAGTTTTAATTTCTTCCTTTTGGAGCTGCTTTTCTTTTCTTTCCGCCTATTTTTGTTCTTTCCCTTCTGTCCTCCTAAATTTGGTATAAAAGCAAAAGGAGTAAATAAAAATTTTGGAAAGCTCTTGCAACCCTGCTCTTCCTGGCTTATGCAGTGGTTGGGATGGAAGGGGAGGCCCAGAGCACAGGAACCACAACACTTTGGATAGCTGGATTTTGAAAACAAAAATGAGGTTAGAAATGGAAACTTTGGTTAACTGAGACTGGGATGAAAACTTCATTTCACGCTTGGCAGCAAAGCTGGATCTCCATCACCTTCTTGCTCTGGCACTTCCCCATTTAACCTGGTGCCCAAAGGCATTTCTGCAACTCTGGCAGTGCAGGGGATCTTGTCATCGTCCTCTGAGTGAGCAGACATGGCCATACCACTGCCCAAATGTTCCTGGGAGTTCACCTTAAAACACTTCCCCCAGGAAGCGCCAGTGGTGTGCTGGGGAGCAGATAGACATCGGGTGCTCGCCTGAATTTTCATACCCATTCTCCCCAGTACCTGCTGTCCTGGGGGAAAACATCACCTTCCAGGTTTCTGGTTTTTCAGCAATTTGAGATAGACACAAAGAAAGGAAAAAGTCACGAAAGCAGCTATGTGGGACTATGTCCCCTCCCCAGCCCACCCCAGCAGTGCACGGTAGCAGGAACACAGAAGACATCAGCACAGCTCAGCATCGTCTTTATATAACTTTATTTCCAGAGGTCTTGTGCAGAATGATATAGTGGTGATGCTGGTCCCTGAGCCTCTGTGGGAGTTTTCTGTGGGCATTTCAGAACGATTCCTGACCCCACGGTTTCTGACCCCATGGCACCTCCTGTGCAGGGACCACAGTGCACCGGGATGAGCGGTCGGAGCCCACCACCCCGGCCGGCCAGCGGTCCCCAGCAGTGCCACTTCCCGGCAGCATCGCGGGGTCCCACTGGGTGAGACCCCCCTCCCGGCTCCTGCCTGAATCCAGCAGCAGTAGCCCTAAAGCCGAGGCCCTTGGGCTGATATCGATGATTACAAAGGGGGGTTTCAGCTTAGATTTCCCTAAGAGCCCACTGCCTGTTACAGGGGAGAGGGCTCCCAAATAAGCTCCACCAAAGCACCCATGATAGAGAGGCAGAGTTTCTTTTTCTCATGAGTCCTCAGGGCTCGGTGAGATGGTACAGGAGGTGTGTTGTGCCTCCACTGAGGTGTGAGCTGACACCTTCAGAAAATCACCTGCTGATTTTTCTTAAATATTCTTTTTTTAATTAGGGAACAAGGCAGTGATGACAAAGGCAGTTTCTGCTCTGGATAGACAGGAGAAACACATGTTGCAGTAGCATGTGATGGGATCCCTGTCTTGCCTGTGCAGGGAACCCACCCAACCCTGGGGAACGAAACATCACGGTGGAGAACTGCTCAGTGAGCGCAACCACCGCTTGACCGATGCCCCCCCTTCCCCCACCCCAGCCCTTCCCTTCCACACCAACTCGCTTCTCCAGCAGAAACCCTCATGACGCTGGGTGGACCTACACCACAGGACAGCACGAGTGGGATGTGAGCGCTGCAGGTGACCAGGGAGCAACTGAACACAGATCCCAGCAGAGCCACCAGCCCAGCGTTCTCCTGCACCGAGCAGCTTTGGTTGGAAGCTCATCACCCTGCTGGGGCTCTTTCACTTGAAAGCAACAGAAACGACCCAAAATGCTGCTGTGGTGGACGTAAGCCTGTGCTTATGCTCTGAGCAAGAGCCGGGAGATTTCATCCTGGGCACCTTCCCCCTTCCTACCCAAAGCTGCTTTTATTGTCTTGATCTAATGAAGTGCAGACTTCACCTGGACAGACCCATAAGTGGCTCCTCTCGGAGGCAATGAATACAAATACTTGACCTCATGAGCTGCGGGGCAGCAATTAGTTTAAGCAGGGGGTTTGTGTAACACTTCAAAAGTCTTAATCCGTGCGGTCAGCCCTGGCACGGTATTTGCCAGAACCTATTGAGTAGTCTTAATGAGTCTGCAAAGCAAGCTTTCAATACATTTTGGGTCGCTTCAGATGCTTTAAATGGCATAGTCTATATGGTATTGTGCGGCTTTAGAAAGGCCCGGGCTTTAAAAAAGTATGGCTCCCTTTCACAGGGCAGACAGAAACCATCTTTAGAGCCGGGACCCTTAACGTTTTGCATATCAATATGGCTGGGGCTGAATGCAGTCACTCAGCTGAGAAATAGGATCACTATCAGCGTTTCCAGGCTTTCACAGGCACTTGGGAAACTTTAAAGCCCTTCGTGGAGAATAATTTGGTCGAATATCGTGGCTGGAAACAAAACCTAAACAAGCAGAGCGCAGTCCATCATGCGGAGCTGCCAGCCAGGCTGACAACAGGCTCCAGCGGCTCCGACATCCAACCCCCAGCAGGTCGGCGGACGGGGCACTTGCAGTCCTGGGGGACCCCGCACCGGGCGCGGGGTGCTGAGCCCACCCTGGCAACGGCCGCGTCGCTCGGAGGGCCCTGGGCTTTTAACCAGCAGAAAACCAGTACCGATTTCATCTCTTCTTACTATTCTTTTACAATATCCTGGTTTCTTAATACAGACCATAAAGCCCCCAGGCTCTGGCACCACACCGGTGGCATCCACATCTGTCCCCAGCGCTGCTCACACACGCACAGCTGCTTCCTGCACAGAAACAGGCAACTGTTTGCATTTAAATCCAACATCATGTTAAGCCGGTCCTTGCACACGTCACTTGTCCCAGCAGCGACCAGACGCTGAACAGGGCAAATGTGCTGAACCTCAGCTACAGCCCGGAGCATCGGTACAGAAAATACGTGTCACCTCAAAGGGGCACAAAGGAGGTGCCAGTAACTGGGATGTGGGAGAGCTGCGCGGGGTAAAGCACAACATGCTGGTGTAAAACTGCGTCAGAGCTGGGAGGAAAGGGGCCAGTGCCCAGTGTGCAACCCCCGAGAAGCAGGAGGGGAGCAGCAGCGAGGAAGGGAGGCGATGACACGCCTGGCAGGACAGTCAGCTTTGGGATGCTGTGCCATGGAAGAAACCACAGCCAAAGCATATTTGCAAACAATGCAGGGCCTGAGGGCCCTTGAAAACACATAATTAGCTCATTAAAGAGACAAATACAAATCACTAATAAGATACTAGAGGTTAATTAAATGTTTTCCCCATCTTTAATTAAGGGAAAACTAGTTAATTCAGATTAAACTAATTTCTGCAGCCTCCCATGATGGCCCTCTACAGCTGAGGATTTGAAAATCTATTAAGATTATTGAACTGAAAGGTCAGAGTTTGGGGCTTTTGTCTGCTCTGCTTGGGTGAATTTGGGGGAAGTGAGGATTTTCATCCTCAGGGTTAGAAATGCACTGCTTTATCATCTAGGTTACTCAAAGAACATAAGAAGGTATGTGATACACAACTCCCTCTCCCTAACCCCAGACCTGGCATTTATTCAGAACTACTGCCATTAATTGTTTTTCTTAACTAGGGAATTCCTGCAGACTATTTTCTGTCTGCAAAACATACCCCACGCTTGGACTCTGCTGCTCAGCCAGCCTCACCCAACGCTGCCGATGCCTGTGCTCAGCACCCGAATTTGATTTAGCAAAAACTCCCTGGCTGCACACCCCAGAGGCCGACTGGTTTCCAAAGCTTTTATTGTGGATGGCAGAGCCAGCATCCACACACTCGCACACATCCACGCACTCGCACGCTCCCACTCGTGACCCAGAATAGTCACGGTTAATATAGATTCGCAAGGTTTATATGGAAGAATATTTAATCTGGTCAGGGAGGGGAGAGGGGTCATCTGTGTTTTTATTTCTTAAATATTTCTCTCTACTCCAGTGGGGTCCGTTTCTTGCCAGAAAAGGTCCGATATAAATTAGAACAAAGGGAGGAGGTTGCTGGTGGGGCAGCCACAGGCATCCCTGGACCATGGCAGCCCTGACCGCGGTCCTGGCTCCGCACGCTGCTGAGCAGACCAGGTCCCAGCATGGCAGCGTGCCCTGTGGGTGACTCAGTCCCACCCAAAGTCCTGCCCTGTCATCTGATAAAACTTCATGTTGAAGGGTCTGTAAAACTCCTGCAGTCGCTGGACCACCTGCATGTCTATTTTGGGGTGCGGCCGCCCCTTGGATTTCCCCAGGCAGCGGGGCTTGCTGCCACCCTCCGGCTTCTTCAGGCAGGGAAAGCCCTTGGTCTCATTAAAATAGAAATGTTTGTCCGTCACCACTCTCTTGAGACCCAGAAAGTCCTGGACACGGCCCATCTCTCCAGCCGGGTCACTGACAAGCCTCTCCCCACTAACAAAGAGGAATTTGGAGAGGGGGAAGTACTGCAGCCAATTGTCCAGGTGCTTGGCGTAGATCCCAATCCTCACCGCACTCCAGCTCGTGTCGATCAGTCCCGTGCTGACATTTTTGAAGGCCAGGGCCTGGAAGCTGGGGATGGCAGGGTTTTTGGAGAGCGTCTGTGTGTAGTCCGAGATGGCACGGGTGACGGGGTTCCGCACCACCACGATCAGCTTCGTGTCCCGAGACATGTTGTAGATGCGCCGGGGAGCCTCCTTGGTGACGAAGTAGCTGGGGGTCTTCTCCATTGTGATCTGCCCCTCCAGTGTCCGTGGCATCAGGCTCCTGGGGAGAGAAAGGGACACAGTCAGGACTCCGACTTGATGCCACGACAGGAACAAGTGGCAGCAAACACCAAAACTTGGCCAGAAATGCCCAGGAGCTCCCCAACTACAACCACCTCTCTCCTTCCCCTCCTGCCAGCCGGGGACACTGCTTTGTCACACCCCGCTGGTCACCTCCTCATCTTCAAAAGCCTTCCTAGTTGCCCCCTGCCCAGGTCTCTCCTTTCCTCACCTCGTCTCAGTCTCCCTTTCACCCCCCCCGCCAGGGTCTGTCCCTGGGAAGGGATGCCCTGTCGCCCTGCGCTGCCAGCAGCACTGTCCAGACGGTACTTGCAGGCTGTCAGTACCCTTCAGAGGTCCCACACAACCCTCTTCCCAGTCCTGGAAATCCCTCCTGCCCCCTCCTCCTCCTCCTCCCCAGTGAGTTTCAGTGGCAGTGACCAGTGTCTTGGCACACGTGTTTTGGGACAGGGCTCTCACCAATTCCATTTACTGGAGGTGCTGACTGGCCGTGTAGGGTCGCAAAGAGGAAAGAAGTAAATGTCATCAGGGGTTGTGCGCCCAGTTTGGGCAGGCGGGGGGGGGGGACCAGGTTGTGCACGAGCACCTGGTGTCTACAAGAATCGCCAGGGTGATTCTTGCCCATATCACCGGGGATGCTGCTGCCCATGCATCATCCCTGAAAACACCTTTGCCTCTAGAGAGGGTGAATAGGAAAAAGTCCCAAGTGAGAATCATAAAGGAGAAAAGCGAGCGCATGGCCGGGCAGCAGGGACAGACCAACGCTGACCGCTCTGTCCATAGCCCCACGCAAGGAGCTCGCAAGGAGCTCGGCTGAGCCCATCCAGGAACATTCACAGATGAAAACTAGCACTTCAATGCCTCTGCTAATTTGCCTCTTCCCTTTCTTGTTCCTTCTTTCCCTGATGAAGCACTTGCACCAGGGTGAGGGCCGGTCCCTGCCAAGCCTGTGGATGCTCATGGTGCTACAGCCAGTGGAGGTAAACTGGGTGGACTGGCCCAGCTGCAGACACCCATGGGTGCTAAGCGAGGTCACTTCGAACCCAGCCCAAGGAGCAGCTTGGGATGCAGATGCCCACCAAGACTCCTGCCTCCTCTGCCTCCAGACAGCAAGCAGTTAAGGCCAGAAAAAGACTGTTTCCTTTTTTCAAAAAAAAGGCAGAAAAACCTCTCAGGGCTCAGCCATTGTGCTGTGTAAATTTCACTGCCTTGATTGCTCCCTTGTGCACTTTAATGAGGCATTAATTGCCGGAGAAATTACCCAGGCACGTCACCCTATGGGCTGAGGAGAGTCAGGGGCTGCAGAACGGGTCCCCTCTGCCACCAGCACAGGCACCTGCCCTAGAGCCCCTCACATCCCCCAGAGCTCCTCATGTCCCCCTTCTCGGGGGTGGACACATCTCTGGCTGTCCTGGTGAAGATGGGACTTGGTTTCCCCAACGGCAGAGCCCCCCCTGAGCCGAGACTGCGGGGCCAGCCGGGAGGCAGCTCACAGGTCCCCGCTGGCATGACACCGGCGTGGCTCCCCAGCACACAATGCCACCCCGAGCTGCTGCTGCTCCCCACGGATTCCCTCGCTGGCAGACAGTGCAGATGTGCCAGGGGACTGACAGCTCTCGCTGCTGCATCCCAGCCAGATCCCACCAGCTCACTCCCCCAGCACCCCGCACGGGAGCCCTTGCCAACGGACCCCACACAGAGATGGGGCTCATCTGGGATTGAAACAGCTTCATTTCCTCCGTGCTGTCACAAGCCATGGTCCCCATCCCCTCCGAGTGCTTGGGGTGACATGCATGCTCCCCCTCCCTGGCCACGTAAAACAGAGGAGTCTCTAGCTGACTCCAGTGCTGGGCTGGAAACTCATTCTGCTCGGAGCACAGCAGCATTCTGCTCGGGTGCCAGGGCTCAGCCCTGCTGTCCACCCCACCTGGGCAGCTATCCTTGCACTGGGTCTGTCCCGAGCAACAGGCTGCTTTCCCGCAGGGAGGGGACATGAGGTTTTCAGAGGTTTGCTTAATACTTTGGGAAATGACCAAACCACTTCAATAGTTCTTCTGAAATAACAACTATGTGTCTGTGTGCACACAGAAATACATGTAACACATATAGAGAATAAGCATGTCCTTTCCTCCCTCCTAGGACTTTTCTTAGCAGATGGCAGAGCACCTAACCCAGCAGGCAAGCGCTGGTTTACAACGGGAAACCGAGGCACCAAGCAATGACACGGCTTGTGTAGGAGCTGCTGTGTAGATGCCTACATTCATCCAGCCAACAAACATCAGCCACCCCGACACAAAATCACTTGCTTGTGTCTCAGCAAACACCTGGGGATCCAGGCTGAGCTGCTCTGCACCCAGAGACATCCCAAGACAAGCTCCAGGGACCAGGAAGTCTCCTGGAAATAGTACCAATACCTGAATACTAGCTGTGATGAGGGATAACACAAAGTGAAAAAAATAAATCTAATCTAACAGAGACATTTCACTTAACTGAAATGAGAGAGTTGGGACCGGACAGACTCTTTTTCTTACAAGCACTTTCCATTTTGCCTGAACTTGGAAGAACTCTGGTTTTAAAACTCAAAGTTGCCTCTGGGGTCTCCCCTGCCCCCCAGGACATCTCCACCCCATGTCCCTTGCTGCGGCTGAGTCCTGCAGCAGGGCCGGGTCTTGGCAGCAGCACTTTGGGGCCGGAAGGGGCGTTTCAGGGATCCCCATCCCGCTGCTCGGAGTGGAGGCACCAGAGGGTTGTGCCTGGCAGGGGAGCTGGGTCCCCAGGGCGGGAGAGGACAGGACACGCAGCAGCGGGGGCTGTGCTGTGGGGAAGCCAGGGCTCTGCCCAGCAGCATCTGTTCCTTATGTAATGGGAAAAGGCTTGAGGTTTCTGGGTTTTTTTTCCCCTGGACGCAGGAAAGAACACTTTATTAAAAGCATTTGCGAGCGATGCTGGGCCCCACACAACTCCCTCCCCCAAACAAGAGGCAAAAGCCACTTTTTTTTTTTTTTTGACAGTGCCAGCATTTTCAGAGCCACTTCTCATCCCCAGCATCACGACCCAGCAACCCGGCCCCTCCATTTGGCACCAGTGGTGCCTGGGCAGGCGGGATGCCCTTGGGGGGTACACATGCACCCTGGGGGCAGTGATGGGTGGCTTCCCTAACCTTTTCAGCACCTTCCTCCCCTCAAATAACTGTGCTTACCAGAGGAGCTGACTGCCAGGGTTCCCACTGGGAAGTGCCTTCCCAAACCAGGATCAGGCCCTTGCACCCCACATCCCGGAGCCAAGCAAAAAACCAACCGCCCCACTCCAAACACCAGTCAGCTCACCTCCAACCTGCCGCTTGCGCTTCCCCCACCCCAAGCCGAGCCAGCAAAGCACATTTAACACTAATTACATTCAGAAACCTGCCATAGGGTTTGCCAGGCTGCACGAAGCAGCTTCTCTGGGCAACTTGTTGAGGCGTTTCTGCAGCACTTCCCCAGATGCCACTGGGATTTCTGCACGGCAAAACGGCTCCTTCCTCGTGCTGCTCACCCGCCCAAAACCTCCTCTCAGCAAACATGGGCTTAAGACCTAAAACAGTCCCTCTCCTCAACGGGCAATAAAATGTTTATTATCAAACAGTGATCACTTGGGATGACGTGATCTGAGATCCTGGAGAGCCCACATTAAACCAAAACATTGCTTTTCTCAGCCTGTGCTCCACAAACCAGCACCGACTTGACCAGAGCTCAGGAATTCATGGTTGTGCTCAGCTTTCATAAAACACGATGGTTTGGGTTTGCTGCAGTTGCCACCGCGGTGTTCCCGAGGACATAAACCAGAGAGGAAACCCATGAGCTACCCCTGCAACAGTGGTGCTCTCCAGGAGCGCTGACGCAGTGACCATGAAGAACGACGTGAGTCCAGATGCCCCAGCAAACATTTTGCTAAAATATTTTAATAAAAGCCATTTTACACCCCCCCCCTCTTCCTTTCTGCATGGCGACAGCAAGGACCAGGCTGAGCACCATGGTGCTGAGGCTGTCTGTCTGTAAAGGGGTCTGCGGGGAAGAGAGACCCCAGGACCCCCCGGGACCCCACTCACCACAGGCAGCCCAGGAGACCCACACCCAGCAGTACCATCACCTTCCCCACACTCATCCTGCTGACCAAGGGCTTCTCAGCACACAGGAGCAGCACCAACTTTAATTAAAGGCAAGCACACTATCCTAGACTTAATTAAAATTTAATTAAAATAGAATTTTTAATAAAAGTCCATGTTAGGGCAGGGATTCCCAACTCTGTTTGTACAGGTACCGCCGGAGCGGTGGCAACAAGCAGCTCCCATGCCTGTGGGCTGTGCGATGGGGTGCAGAGACCTTCCCCTGCCACCATGGCCACATACTTGGTCCCCGCACAAGAGACGTCCCATGCAAACCCCCCCCCCCAAAATATGGTCCCTCAG